TGGGGATTTTTGGGAAGGGCCATTTTCCTTTCTAGTTTGGGAGATCGGCTGTGGACTGTGTCTCCAAGGAGGGACTGGGATGAGATGAGGATTCTGTAATACTCAACAGCTTGGCATGGATTTAATGTTTGATCAGAAGTGATGCCATGGCTTTCATTCCGCAGAAGAGATGGGTTCCAGACAACCATTTCCCTCAGAAGGAATTTCTGGTACTTGTGAAGGATAACCCATAGTGTTCTGCACAACTCCTACAGCATCTATGTTCCCCTAAAAGGCAACATCCACTCGGAGTGGAGACAGAAATCAAGCAGCAGTAAGACAGATGAAGGGTGAGCATGGCATTTCCTAAAGGAATCCCCAAGTCAAGGAAGCAAAGATTTGTGGGACAGGTATGTTCAGATGGGTTTGAAGTGAGCTATGGGACATTTGGTTCAAAGGATGAAACTAAACCTAGTCCAAAGTAAAACTCACAAACCACATATAGTGGAAATGTCAGGAGCCTCAGCAGTTAATTCAGCATGGCTTTGCTTCACTCATCTACCCAAGCGGCACCAAATGATACATTACTGTAGGCATCGCTGATGTTGACATGCTGCAGTGTAACTATCTTCAATCAGGGGAGATCAAGTTCCAGCTGCTTCTTCAGACTTTTACAGTGTCATTTGAAAGTCTTTTGTGTGGAATGTGAAAAACCCAAGACACCGCTCTTTGTAAATTCCTGATTAGTCTCATCCTTTAAATACTAAGCCTCATCCTAAAATACTAATATTGATATTTTTGAAGAGCTACCCCAGTGACATCACAGTTAAATCTTTCTAGGACATGCACTGAAGAATGCCATTTGAGATTTAAGTAAGGTAAGGAAAACCAGCATCAAAGAAGTCTAATACACATTTTTATCAAGATAATGTTGCTTTACCAATGGGATTTTCTGTCTGTATTCTAGTTTTGATTCTAAAGCAACTCTAAGAGAAAATATCTTGAAATGAAAGTCACTATTTCTAGCTAGGAAGGAATTGGTCATTTTTCAAGGCAGAAGGCAAAGAAAGAAGAGGCAGCAAAGCATGAAGAATGAGAAAGACTACTAGAAACAAAACAATCTGGGTGATTCCTCAGTCATATACAGGAGATACGAGCAGAGCAAGACAGATACACACATAAATCCAAACTGACAATGGCTAATACAGCTGTTTTGGAAGAAGACGCTTTAGGGTGGGTAATTATGAAAAAAACCTTCCTACAGAAGAAATTGCATCCATGATAACGTGAAGCCCTTCTTTCTCATCCTTATTTTTGTGACATTCAATGCTGTCAGAGGCTGGGGTGGGTGTTGGTTTTACTAATACCATCACATTACTGCACTCAGAAATTATTTATTGTGCACTGAACTCAACATCTTAACTGTGCATTGTTATTGAAAAGAATCACAGAGAGGAATCATACTGCTTTTGTGTACATGATCTGTCAAGCGTCAACAACTGCAAATAATATGACTCAAATTCTCGAGATTTCTTTTTAGCAAGTGAGGCACTCTAGAGAATACACCCAATTATGTAAATAGAAGGGTTTTTTCACCTACCTAACCACCTTTGTCTTAATTTCAAAATGGTAGTATTTTCTAACACAATCAGAAAGTTTGTTTTTAAATGAACAGAAGCCATTGCTCCTTATTTCTTCTGGGTATCTTTATATTTCCCTAATACCACACAGGTTCAGTAATATTTCTAACAGAATTTGTGTCTCTCTTATCTTTTCCTGCCATCTCACTACTGGAATTAGAGAATCTCCCAAGGCATACTCAAAACTTTCACCTACATCCCCATTTCACTGGTTTCAGTCCAACATTGTAATCTTCATTTAAAAGCCCATAACAGACATCAGTAAAGAAAAAAGTCCAATCATTATATTCTGGAAGACTGTTATGTCTTAAATTTGCCAAATTCCTCCTCTCTGCATTTGGAAGATTTCATCTGTAACAACATGTAATTAACACACTTCAAATACAACTGTATGCACTACATACCACCTCACTTTAACTAACTCAAGGCTTTCCAAGTATGAAGACAGTATAGTTGTACAGAATATCAACACAAACTGATGTTGCCATTATTTACTTCAATAAAGAATTGCTGAAATTGTCCTGCAATCCTTCTATTCCAAAAAAAAAGCTTCTCACAGGTTGGTAAACATCCACAAGCTTCCAACATTTCTCTCAATTATTTATAGTTTACTGGTGCTTAACTTCAAAATTGCAGCATCACTGTAGCTCTTAGATCTGAACAGCAGTGCAACAAGTAAAAAGAGAACAACAGGCTTCCTGAGTACATAGCTCAAGCTATCCCACCCTCCCTAAGGATCCTTATTATCTCCAGCCAAGCACCTATGTCATTTTTTTCATCTTTACAGTGAGTTTGATCCTGGAACAAATGATCCAACCTACAAAACTCTGCATCTTCCCATCCTGTGACCCAGTTATCCCCCAGTTATCCTACATAACTTCTGGCGAATCCATCTATAAACTCCACTTTTATTACCACAAGCCAGAAAGAATTCCACCACTTCAAGTGTTAATCTCTTGTAGAGACATTTTGAACAGGCAGCCTCTCTTGAAAAGATATCCTCATTACACTATCGGCTTACTTGCTGGACAGACTACTAAACATTCATTGGATGTGGATAGTCCAAACAACAGTCTGCACACAGATACACACTGTCAGGCTATTTTACATGGGGAAAGGAACTCGGGAAAGAAGGCAAAAGGTTTCTTTCCCCACCAGGAGGTTCATCAACTTTGGTCATATGTCTGATCTGCACTCATACTGATCTATAATGAAACATGCAGAGTACTGAAAGTCTATTTCAAAACGACAGGATATAGTACTTTTAGCTTACACTGAGCAGACTGAGAACACAGTGACAACCAGTGACTGAGGGCTATGAGTGAAACGTCATCACTCACCCACGCTCCATAGTGGTTTGGTAGGCCTTTCCTCAAAGTCTCCCCTAGACTCTACAAGATCTATGACACAAAATACACCAGCCCATGTCTTTCCCATTTTCAGCAAATCTCTTTGTGAATACCTTTGTTATCAGGTGTCCAATAGTTGCCAGGTAAACTAAGTTATATTTATTCCACAGAACGAACGAGACAGCCTCAACAGACAAGATAATAATCTCAAATCCTGCCTTTCACTTATATTCCCTTTTGATTAAGGAGAAGAGCAAACTGTAGAGAATTCAGAAACAGTATTTTGATAGGACTCAGCTACCAGCAAGATTATAATGAACTTCTGAATGAGTTCCGCTACATACCCCAAGAAAACTTAAACCAGTTCTTCCATTCGGTTTGATAATGCTGCTGTAAGAGGAAATGTGGAGGAAAGGATGTGTACGTCAACTAGCAAAACTTTCTCATTCTGCACAAATCTGCCATATCCTAAAACATTTAATACGCTTATAAAGAATGCAGATACACAAACTTAGGAGACTTAATATCAAAATCAAGCTTAAAAAGCAAAACAAAGGCTACTTTTCAAATGCTTTTCAGAGGAAATTTCTACAGAGAGAGTCCACTTAAGATAATTTACATTAAAATGTTGTATTACTTCATTAAAATAAAACAAGTAGGTATTTTTATATGTATATGTATGTATAAATTGATTTTATATATACGTATTTTGTGTATATATTGTATTTATATATAGCATATGACACAAAATTGTATATATAAAATTACTGGGTTTATATATAACATATTATATATATAAAACATACACATAAAAGAATAAATACAATTAGATAAGGAACTGGGCCCTTTTAAAGTCTCTGATTTCTTAAAACACTGAAGCTAGTTGTTCTAGCTCCAGCATGCTGTATGGTAACTTCTAAGTTCTTTTTTGAACTTGGTAAATCAACAGAAAACTGGTGAGAATTGAATGTTTTCTGTATTTTCCTTAAAAGATAGAGTGCAGTACAGGTTTATCATTTTTTGTAGCTGTATAACTTCTCTTTTCCTGCAACAGTGGAATAAAACCCACACAAACTGAACTACTGTATTGTGAACCTCATTTCACGTTTCAAACCATAGGTTCACATTACTCCAGACACTACATGCGTATCTGAAGTAGAGTGACTGTGTTCCATTCACTGTAATGCATCTTGTACACTGAAATACATTAAGGAATAATATGAGTCTGACTCCAACATTCCTTTGCACTCAGTGTTAAGTGCAACTGCTACATATAACCGGAAGAAAAAAGCCAGCTAAACAGAGGAGCAGTGTGAGGGCAAACCACCAGCTGATGGCTGTGAGAGCAGAGAACCTTGAACGGGGCAGATGGCAAACACTCATGGTGGCAACAACCCACAGTCAGGCACTGAGTAAATCTGAATGGGCTGATGCAGAACTGGGTATTCACGACCCCGGCTGGGGGTAAGCTACCTCAGCCCACGGGGAAGTCGAAATCCAGAGACCTTCCAGACAGAAAACTAAGTGTGGGGCCACCAGCACCCCCACTACAGCCTACAGCAGGGCAGGTGATGCAGCTCTCTTTATTGCTCCTCCCTGCCAGTTTTCATTTGTTTTTACACTCAATTATGTGCAGCAATAGCCAAGGTACACATCGTCATTTCTACTGGAACTGTGTTTTTGTTCATCATAGCAACTGTCAAATGACTTGACTAATACTTTGCTTTACCTTTTAAATACGAAATAAGAACTGTTGGGGGGGGCTGGGGGGAGAAATCCAATAGAGGAAAGTTCAAAATTTAACCAACCAGGAAAAAAATTATTAAACTGCAAAAGAAAAAGAGGAATTAGAGGAAGATCAAAACCTCTTAGATGCAGTATAATTGGGTACAGGTATTGAAGCTTATAAATCAATACTGAGCACAGCAAAAGGAATAAACTAGCAAGATAGACCATTTCTACCTCTCTAGTATCTACCTGCTGTGCAATACTTACTGCCCATTTTCAGTAACAAGGTTATTCTCAAACTTACCTGTTCAAGAAGTTCTTTATATGTTATTTTCTCTTTGGTATTTGTTACAGGACTGTCATAAATAACAGCAATTTGGTCTCCTTGTCCATTCTCAACATGACGATCTACAGCATTGTAACAGATATTCAGCTCTCCACCTACAAACCTAAAAAGAAGTTGGAAGTACATAACAGCCAGCCTTCCAAACTAATAAGACTATTTTTTTGCATTTTTTTTTAAGGAACGAGAGCATTCAATTAAAATATAGCTCATAAAACATTATACTCAATTCAGGAAGTCATTTTTTAATCTATAACCTCACAATTTACTCAGAAAGCTAAATAAGCCTATTAGTGAAAACAGTGGATTGAAAGTACTGTATCTTAATTGACTTAACTAAGAATCTGCTAAACTTGGTCTTGATCTAAATTACTTTGCATCAATCATTCTGATTTTTATAACTAAGATTTCACAGCAAAAGCGTACATTCACATAAAATAATCTGACATTATGAAAATGTGTTATTACACTACTTTGTATTGGCATGCACACATATCTTTTTTAAGAACAGGTTCATCTCTTGACAATAACAGTTAAGCATACAGGCACCTGTATCTAAATGAAACTGACCCCAACAGTTATAAAATCTTATAAATTTGTCTGACATTCATAATGCATTTGACATTATCATGTTTTACATCAGTGACTCACAATCCCCTGTAAAGCGATGTGAGTCATAGCTTCTTCAACAGCCAGATATTTACAGAAAATTCTCATCTTCTAATTAAACACTTCACAAACTCAGGTTTCATTTTTATTGTAATTTTACACAGAAAAAGAAAATTCAAGTGCAGCATAATCCTCAAGTAAGAAAATACAGAAGGCACCAGATACAAAGATGACTCTACTAACTGAAAGATGACACAGAATCTAAAAACTAAAGTTCACTATAAATAATGTTCTTTGTGTTTGTTTTTCTATCTGCACATATCTCTCTACAGCAAAAAGAAGAGCAACACACAGAAAAAACACACCTGAGAGTTTCCAAAAATTTCTACGGGGACACCCACTGTGATAATGTGATATTGTTATAATGTAACGAGAAATAAAAACAGATGGCCTAAAGTAACCACCCACTACTAGTTAAAAGAGTATTTCCTTCTTCACCTTTCCTGTCTAGTAAAGGACTGCTCTAAATTAGGATATTTGATATATTATTTGTATATCCATATGCACAGATGGCATAGGATAGTCTTTATTGTCAAAGAATGGCAATTACTAAACCAAAAGCAGTTAGGATGTTTAGGATGCAGCAATCTTTTATTGGGACTCCTTTTCAATGCCATTAATAAGGAGAAAGTGGACAACCAGGAAAATAAAAAAACCATCTGTACTACAAACCCCATCCCATAAAAGAAGAACTGTATGAACAATAACGGATTGGGAGTTGTTTCGTGTAATATAGAGAAACCCTATTACCGTTGTAAAAGTTATGTAGGATTCAGGTCATCCATTGATTTTTATATCAAATCACTGTAGGGTGATATGAACAAGGGAACAAGAGAGCACAGTACCTGGGCTACTATGCATAACCACTTGAGAACAGTCAAAACATGAGCAAGTACCGGAGCTTGAATTCTTCTAAAGATACATGGCAACATCAACACTGCCACATACATTTTTAACAATCGCTTGCGAACAGTACGTGAAAAAGATGTGACTGCAAGTTGAAACAAAAAACAAGACTATCTGGATAGTGTGATGAGAGCTTTGCTATCCCATTCAGAAGGAGGGAGGCTCTTCACAGGATGAGAGAAGCAGAGATGCACCTACTATGACCACAACTGCAAGACTTTCGTTTCTCTACTGTCACCCAAGGACATGCTCAAATACCTCATTCTGGCTGACAAATAAAAGCTGCCTGGCTTTGAAAAGCTGCCCTGTGCTGCTGCACACTTCTGTTGATTCAGTGATTCCCAAGGAGATGAACACCTTGTGAGGAACTTTGATTTGCTTGAACAAGCATTAGTTGGAAAGTAACGGCAGCATGAAACCAGGACCCAGTCTTGGAATAAGGACCTCAATGAGATGCTCCTATTTAAAACAGAGTTCTAGAATCAAAAAGAAAATATTCCAATAGACTGCAGAAAAATCAGAGATGGATCTGCAGGATGTTTGTAAAAGCTGCCAGTAATTCTTGCCATAATAAGCAGGACTGTAAAATGCTCATCTGTTGCTAACCAGACAATTATCTCAATGCAGCTTACCAAATGAATCCAAGTCTGAAGAACCTTTTTTTAGGCTGTGTTCCTAACGCTGAGAAATTAGTAACATTCAACAAACAGAGCAGAGGAAAAGTATAACAAATAAAAAGAGTCAACAGTAACAACTCTAATATATAAAAGAAACTGGATTGAGTTCACCAGCAGTCTCTTTGAAGAGCTCATCTACTGTCCACTGGTGCTATGGTGGAAAAAAAATGACAGGGTTCTTCCTGTCAAAAATCACAGCAGAATTTAAAGCGCGTTATAATATCAAAACAGCATGTTCCTTCACAGCAACATTTTAAATCAATATTCTGACAATATCTACCTATCCTTTTGGTAAGTCTTTTTTCCCATACATCCATGAAAGCAGCAGCCTTTGATAATCCACATTATGCATAACTTAGATCTAATAAGGCATCTTTTTAATAATTTGAGTGTAGTTACCCACATTAGGACCCCCTTGAGCCTCTTTAGAGCTGCCTACAGCAGTCACCTAGGGATTACTGCCTCTTCGTGACTGGGGCTCAGCACCTCCCATCTCACCCCAGCCCTGAGGTCTCACAGTTTCTGTTGTTTCACAAAAAAGGAATCTCAAGCATATGCACTTACCTCTTTAATCATACTTCAGAATGACTACTCTATTAACCTTTTAGCGGTAGGAATAGAAGAGGGTGCAAAAGCGCTGATCTTCTGTTCATGTTTTACTCTTGGCAAGTCAGTTAGTTAGGTCTTCCACAGCGGAACTCCCGTTACATACAGCTTAACATCTACCATCTACGGCCTGGAATTTTTTTTTACTGCATTCAGTATTTTTTTGGATGTGACAACAGCCTACTTGCTACTAGTGAAGAAGGCAACACATAATTATGTCTTAATTCACTTCACTCAAATATTCAAAAGTTATGCTTTAATTTCCAATACTTTCTGCTATCTTAAGAATCAAAGTAGCTGTATTCAGAGACACTTTTTAGTCTTCATTCAACGGCTCAGAAGGCAAGATAATTAAGAATAAAGAAAGAAAGTAAAGGTTCTGAATAAAGCTGGCATATATGCAAAAGAAAAAACTACATTAAAATTATTTTGCACCATAACTGTAAAAAAAGCATATTGCTAAAATCCTTTTATGCCATGCAGGGTACATATACTTCTCCAAGGCGGGTTCCCAGGAATCAACTGGATTTTTTTTTTTTTTTTCTAGACGAAGTGAAGCTGAATAAAGTGTTAGACAAATCCACAACAATATTAGATATTTTGAGATAATATTATGTTAATTGATCCAGCCACATGTTTAAAAAGCATAAGCAACATTTGAATAGCAATCTGTGCAACATTCCTAAAGTTCAAAGGTGATTTTATATTGCGCTTACATCTTCGAATCAGAGAAAAAACATAATTTGCAAAATTGCCCTCTGCCTGTGTGTGTTAGGAAAAACTGTTTCTATCATTCCTAAAGAAATATTTGCTTAACCTTTCTAACTGGGATTCCACAAGGTCCCAAAATAATCTGTTCAAGTGTTTCACTACCTTTAGCATTAAAAAGATTTTTCTTTCTAACGTCTAAAATCTCCATCTCCCTTGTTGCAATTTAAGAGTTCTAGTTTTAACCTCTTCAAAGCCAACTCGGAGAACAGTTTTTCCTTCAGCTTTGTAGCCATATTCTCTGTAGCCGAATTTTACGTGTTTTAAAACTTACATCTCCTTTTTGGCTTCTAAACCAAACAAGTCCAATTCCTTCATCCCTTTCTTGACCAATCATGCTTTTCTGCTCTCTTCTCATTATTTTTGATGTGGGCAAAACCAGATGATGTTTTGCGCCGTACCAGCCACTGATGCAGGTTAGAACAGTCAATGGTACCTGGGATTACTGCTTCAACAAAACAGCCAGGGGATGGTGACACTGATCACATACCTTTTGGAAATCATTTCGCATCCCACTGACATAATACTGCTATTTCCAATGGCAGAGACTAAAGAAAACGCACTAGGGCATGCTGCACGTTTCTTTCATGCTCTTACAGTATCTACAGAAGATGAATTGGCATTTGCTTTATAGCTACATTTTAAATACGTTAATCACCTCCTTCAACTTCTTCAACCAAAGTAAATGAGACTGGAAAATATATTAAAAGTATCTGTTTCTCAGGTTTGGCAACCGAAAACAAAGATACTGAAAAAAATGGATACTTATTAATTGACCTAATAATATGTCTCTGAAACACAAACATGAACTTCTTCATACTATTTTTAAGGTCTCCATAAACCGCTTCCTAGGTAAACCTCAGAACCAGAACTACATCTTTACCCTGTTAGACCAGCAAGCTATGTTTTTCTTGGAAGCCTGGTCTCTTCCTCAGTTACGTTCCATCTTCGTTTTCTCTTCAGTATGTCCTCTGAAAGAGCCTCTTGTAATCTCTCTCTCTCTTATATACAGTCTTTTCCTCAAAGAACTTACCTATCTGTCGTCCTGCTGAGCACACTGAATGCTGGTAACCATCTGGGACTTCAGAGGCATTACAGTACTACACTAGTATCAGATACAGCCTGTTATTACTTAAGGTGAACTTAAATAAAAAAAGAAATAAAATTGCATGTTGCACATTAAAGAGGATTACACAAATCTGAATTGCTTAATGTTTCATTATCCACAACAGAGCAACAGATACCTGACATCCAAACAATAATTAGGGCCTGATGTTGACGGCCTGCATCTTTGTATAATCCCACAGAATCACAAACTGATTGAGGTTGGAAGGGACCTCTGGAGGGCACCTGGTCCAACACCCCTGCTCAAGCAGGGCCACCTGGAGCCAGTAGACCAGCACTATGTCCAGATGGCTTTTGAATATCTCCAAGGATGGAGACCCCACAACCAACTCTGTGCCAGTGCTCAGTCACCATCACGTTAGAAAAGTGTTTCCTGATGTTCAGAGGGAACCCCTTGTGTTTCAGGTTGTGCCCATTGCCTCTGGTCCTGTCACTGGGCACCACTGAGAAGAGTCTGGCTCTCTGTTCTGTACACCCTCCCTTCAGGTATTTGCCCACTTTAACGAGATAATTTCAGTCTGTGGCAATCTGCATGCACAGAGGGAGAAAGATGCAAGTGAGAAGTGAGGCCAGAAAAGACCCTTGGAATGTAAGTCTGACTTCAACCCATGAAACTTTATCCAGCTATCCCTGCCGTGAGGCCAAATAACTTCTATCTGAGAAGTCACAATGCTTTACAAAGACCTAACCATGTTACTTTCAGCAAGCAAGCTTATCACACTCTGCAAATCAAACCAGATTTGTCTGACAGAATCTGATAGCAAAACCATGCTCACTAGAGTGTATTATATTCTTATTCCTT